TGCCCCCGAGGGCTCGCCGCGCCGCGCAGGCCGCCTTCTCACGCTGCCCTCCCGCTTCCCCTTCTTGTCTTGCAGAGCATGAGGCTGGACTCGCGGCGCCCAGAGGAGCGGCGGAGCCTCGCAGGGACGCGCCCGGCCTCGCGCTGAGAGCGGCGCCGCCTTCCCGCGCCGGGCGCCCGCCGATCTCCCCGCCGCCCGCCCGCCGCCCGCCGCCCGCCGGCGCCCTTCCCTGCCGGGGCCTCGGCTGCCGCGGTGCAGCCCCGGTATGGATGGACGGGAGTTCGCGCCGCCGCCGCACCTCCTGGCCGAGCGGGGCCACCGCAGCAGCGCCAGCCGCCTCGCGGCCGCCGGGCACAACGCGGCGGTGCAGCACGGAGGACACTTCCAGCCCGGGAAATACTTCCCGGCGCCCATCTCCATGGCTACGCACACAGGTCAGTGCGGGGCGGCGGGCCGGGCGGGGGGGCGGGGAGGGTCCGGCCGCTGCTCCCGGGCCGCGGGGTCGCCGAGGCAGGGCCCGCGGCGGCGCAAGGACCTCGATTTAAAGCGGCAACCGGCCGCCAGCGGCTCGCGACGTGGGCTTGGGACTGGCGGATCGATCCTTGCTCCGGTTGCATCGGCGTCCAGAACGAGCAAGCAGCTGCCTGGAGAGAGGCGGGCGGGCGCCCTGCGCTAAGCAGAGCTGCCCGCTGGCCGGCTGCTTTTTGCAGCTGCCCTTCCCGCCGCAGGACCAGTAGTCGAAGCGGTCCTGATTTCTCTCGCGGTGCAGGAACCTTTCGGAAAGCCTCGGAAGGAGGCGAGCCGGGCAGGCGGCGCCCCTGAGCAGAGCGGCGTCCGCGGGGAGCCCGCGGCGTGGATCCCGTCGCCGGTGCGGGGAAGGGCGGGCGCGCTGGCGGAGGGGCGAGCCCCGCGGGATCCCGTCGCCTCGGAAGGGGCGGGGGCGGGAGGCTGCCCTCCCCCTCCCCTCCCCTCCCCTCCCCTCCCCTCCCGCTCCCCCGGCGTCCCTCTTCCCGGGGCCCAGTGGAGCGGGGTTCTCCAAAGGGAAGGGCAGACGGCCCCCGTCCCCCGGGAGAAGAATTCCGCGATTCGGGGCGCACGTGCAGCGGGCCTCGCGAGAGGGGGGGACGCGGCATGTTTTCAGCACATCTGAACGCACCGGGCCGGCCAGGAGAACAAGCTCCTGCTCCCCGTGCCCGCTGCTCCTTACGGGGGGGGGGCGAGTTCGGTTTTGTTCCTTTTTCTAGTGACAGGGGAGAGGTCGTTCAAAGCAGGGTCGCTTCGCCCACCCCACCGCCACCGCCACCGCCACCTCCCCTCAGTTGCTGGAACCGAAGGAAAATAAATCCCACAGAAGAAAAGGGGGGAGGGAAACCCTTTTTCTGCATTAACATCCTTAAGAAATGCTATTGCATGAACAAGAAGGCACTTTCTGTCTGAACAAAAAGGCTGTTATTTGCCAGGGAAGGGTGAGCACCCAAGAGCCGGCGATGTTCTTTCAGATTAGGGGTAGCAGTATGTGCAGGGTTAGCCTTAATAGAGCGGGTGGTGTAAGACTAGAAAATCCTGTTTCTATATAAAGCGCTGAAGTGTCAGGGTGAGAATGGGTTTGCAGCGCATGTGTTAGCTTTAACAAGTGTTTGTGGTATCCTGCTAAAGACGCAAAGTTTGGCAAGAAAAATCGGGGAGGCTGTGCATGCCAGCTTCTTTGGGAGATTGTCTGTGCCATCCTTTTTAATCAATCAATTCTTTGGGAGCGGGGGGCGTGCAAAATAGCAGGTATTAACTGGTCTGATCGCTGGATGTTAGATAGAATACAAATGCAAAATTAAGCATCGCCTCTGCTCAAGCAGCTCAAGATCTCTGGTAGCCAAAGTCCTGAATGCGGGATCTCATTGGAGAGGAGATCTGTATTGGCAATCTTCATTAACATCTTTGTATATCGATAGGAAGAAAACAAAACAAAACCCCACAGAGACTGGAATGCAGAAACTTCCCTTGATGAGAATTTTCCTGAGGCAAGGAATAAGCAAGTGCTGAGTAAGGGGATCCAGGCTTTTCATATTTTGTTTTTGTTTCTGAGCATTATAGATGCTTTCAAGGGCTGGATTTTGCCTAGCTGCGTTTATTTTTAGAGACAGGACCATTAAAAAAATCTGGAATGGATGGTTCAGAGTTAGAAACATTTTATTTCCACTGTGAATGCTTGAATTTGTTTTCAGTGTAACCCACCCAACCTCTATATTTAACCTAAAGTCGATATATGTATTTTTGTCCTCAAGGATTTTGTCATATGCTTGATTTTCAAATGCTGTGGCAGCCCCTGAATATGTAGTATCCACCTTCATTTTGTGTGTATGAGTTGTGTATGTGATATATATTTATGGAAGTGTGGATTTAATCTTAGATTTACAAAACCGCACACAGCCACTTAAGTTTTGTTTACAAGTTACTTTAAACATCAGAGCAAAAAGAACAAAAGTGTTGCAGTTTTTATTTTTCTCTAAACTCAGCAGTAACAGCCATTATTGCTAGCTTGATGAACTGTGAATGCTAATAAAATTAGATCTGCTTTAATGGGATTACAATTAGTACATGGATTAAAAAGGATGGCACGAGGTAGACCAGAATGGATAAAAAAAAATCAACTGGGAAGGCAAATATTTCTTTAAAAAATACATGGTCAAATACAGAATTACTAATGGGCTGTTAGCTTTATGAGATTTTTAAAAGTGCTAACAAATGCAACAAGCTGTTTGTGCTTTATTTGAAATAACTGAATCATGGATTTGCAGGGGTTTCCCCTGGTTTATTTTTTTAACCTTCCTTCCTTTCTTCCTTCCTTCCTTCCTTCCTCCCTTCCTTCCTTCCTTCCTTCCAAACAAAATGCAAGATGCTCATTGGAGTTATGTTTCAAAAATTGTTGTTTCCAGCAACACCAGGAAGGAATTTAAAAATGCAAACGCAGGCAAATTGGATGAAGAGTATGATTTGTGTCAATCACTGTGCTTTCTTTCAATAGTCTGGATTCAATACCCCTTGTCCTGTTTCCAAGTCATATGAAATCCTTCTGTTGATCGCTTTTATTTTTCTCTTCTATTGTGTTTTGTGTGTTTATGGGAATTTTAATTAAGTTCATAATTAGAAATATCATGGGGGGGATGGAATCCTGTTCATACAGTCTTTTCTTTAGAATGTATTTAACATTTTTGGTTCGGCACATTTCCCCCCCTCTTTTACGTTCAAGAAGCAAATGGACAATTCCCGCAGAATAAATTATTGATAGAATCTTGACACTGATGTGCAATTATAATACAGGGAAAGGCCTCTCCAGGACCAGAGGTCACAACATGTGAATATACAGACTAGACTGTAGTGGATCTTGGCCAGCTACAACGTTATTAGTACTATTAGTATTAGTAGTATTAGTCTTATTACTTTTACGTAAAGAACAGTAATGTCTGCCTAACATCTCTTAGCCATATACTTTGAACAAGCAAGAAATTTATGTTGCTTTGAAACATCCTCTGACTGCATGGAGATGAGTTCAAGAACTTCCCGGTATACCACATCCATGGTTTAGTGAAAGAATTGAGACTTGCCTGTTAAAAGCAAAGAGGTTGGGAGGGAGGTCCTCTCTTTGCAACCTGCATCTTGGACACCTACAACACTTTTTCAGAACCTACGGCATAAGCAAAATTAAATGCAGAATTCCAAAAGGCCGGATGCAGGCAAATCCACCAGGAATAGACTGGAACATGAAGTGCTCTACAAGAGAGTGCTTAATTTTTACGTTGACTGGACAAAATTCCACAAGGCACACATTCATTGATCTAGCGTGTATTTTATCACTCCCTCCTCCCTGGAATTCTTTCTCCATGGAGATAGCGTGTACCCTCCCTATTCCTCCCCTCCAACAGTTTTTTTTAAAGCTGACCACAGAGACCTTGAATTTTTGAAGTTAGCTTTTAATGTTTAGCAAATTGTTTTTCTTAAAGCAGAGTGCTGATAGTTTTATAATCCCGCTGTAGAAATTTTATGGTAAAGCGCTGTTATAGTAACCTTGTCACAAAAGGTGCAATTAAAATGTTTTGTCTCATTATTTTTTGTGCAGCATTAGATTTGTGTGTGTGTGTGAGCACGCCTGTGTGTGCGCACACACACATCTCTAATGCAGATGGTCCAAAGTCAAAGCTGTGAAAATGTTTTATTTTTTTTTAAGGGGGGAAGGGGAAAAAGAAAAACAGAGAGAATGAGGGAGAGAAGGATATTAGTAGCATTATTCATCATTACTCCTGCCTGAAGCTGTTTGGATTTTCACATTGCTGTTGACTCTTATTTAGTATGAGAGAGAAGAGAAAAAGAGAGAGAGAGCCTTACGAAGGGGGTGGTGGGAGGGAGACCCAAAGATGATCTCTCCTCACTTACCCAAGCAAGGGCCTTGCAGGTTGTTCAATTTTTTTCTTAAATGTTGGTTGAAAATAGAAATGTGAAAGAACTGATGCATGTACATAAGTTAAAAAACCAAATATGCTTAGCATGAGTAATTAAAAAAGAAAAGAAAAGAATGGCAGCCATCCGAAATGGACATAGGCTCACCAATAGGCATGGCGAAGGATCTCTAAACAGACACTTATTTTGACTGGAAGCTGTTGCAGTAGTTCTAGACTTGATTTTTTTTTCTTAAGTAAGAGTTTCATGTAGATTTAGTTATCATTAAATGGAATGAGAGGGAGAAACAACACATTCCTGGGGAGACAGACCCTGTGCAGGATCTCCACCCACCTTTGGTGTCCCCCTTTCAAGAAAATACATTTTAGGAAATAGCTCATTAATTATATGACACCAGTGGATGTTTCTGCAACACAGTTACTACATTAAATAGGTGCTAAAGGAGTTACTGTTCAAAGCCTTGTTCTAAAGACTCTAACCATCTTTACTTATAAATGACAAGTAGCATGAGACATCAAAGGCAATGCGGAGATAACAGCTAGGAACTGCCAAGGCTGGTCTTTTGCACAAGAACGGCAAGGCGCACATGGTTATGCAAGGCAGCCCTGGCTGTACACAAGTGAGTGTGCGTGCGCACGTATAGGCACACACACCCCCACATAAATTAAAGTTCAAATTTGAAATGTGCATTATCCCACTGGGAATTGCTCCACCATCATGTCTAATTATTCATAGAAGAAGGTGTGTGCGTGCACGTTTTTCCACGGGAACAACTAGGGTGTGTGTGACTATGATGCTAATTTAGAGTCAAGGCAGTATTTCCATGTGCAGAACAAGTGTTCCAGTGCAAAATCTACCCCATGGTTTCTTCAAAACAGGCCAAGCCCTGGAGCACGGGCTGTTTAACATATGGGAGTTCAAATGCAAATAAGGTTGTTTAAAATAACAGGCAGACACCTAAAAATATCCCTTCAAAAACTCACAC